AAAAAGCATTGAAACAAAAAAAGGTTGAGTAATGATCACTATACATACTATTTTTAATTTATTTCTTGCATTACTTGTTAAGAATAATTGTGATCCATTTCCGGGTGAAACACAAATAAGCTAAATTATGGATTTCATAGTATTTTTCCTTGAACGTTTTAAGATTTATTATTCTAATCATCTAGTTATTCTAGCTTGTTATTCTATTCTCAAAGAGACAGTGTTATATTTTTGTACACTGCTTTTTCAACCTTATTTCAATGATATAATAAAGTATTGAGGAAACTAACGTATCCACTGAAATAAGCAAAATTCGAGGAGGTCGTTGAAATGTAGTATAATTGCCCAAAATTATGATCAAATACAGGAGAATTCACGTATCTTAAGCTATTGCAATCCGAGTTCAACTATCTGAAAGTCAAATTGAAGACGACTAAAAAGTCCACGATTTTCATTCATCTGTCATTATTCCCACACTGGATGCACTTTAGTATTCAAAAAAGCGAACAAAAATATAAAAACGTGAGTTCACGATAGTAAGACGTTCGTCGACGAAATTTTTCGACTACTAAAGTGATATTTAACGTTGAAGCATTTATATACTTTATAACACCATCATTACCAAAGATAATCTAATCATCTATGGTAGTAGTAACGACCTTCCTTGCATATAATAATAAGATCAGTTCCTAACTTTAAAGAGTAAATTTCAGTTTTGCTCGTTTTCTACCTAGAAATGGCAGTATTTCTTTCTCACATATTCATACATCTATGTTGAATATATTGTGTGTAAAACTGCGCGATTCGTACAATTATCTTTTTTTCAAGCAATTCAACATTTTCCCAACTGTATTATTTCAACTGTGTATTATTGTAACTCAGATTAATACATAAAAAGAAAATAATAACGATCGGTGTGTAGATCGTACTTATTTTCCACGTTTGCAAGTGCTGTGACCTAATTTTCGATCAGACATATATAACGATCATAATTATTGATATTGTCCAAGCAAATACTTTCTGGTATGGAATATTCTATATTTTTTTACGTATCAAAGCATGAATATTTTCTATTCGTCATGATAGCCTTAAAAATTTATAATGTTTATAATACATTATAGTACAATATAGTACATTATAGTACAATATAGTATATTATAGTACAATATAGTACAATATAGTACATTATAGTACATGATAGTACATTGTAGTACATTGTAGTTCATTATAGTACATTGTAATACATTATAGTACAATATAGTGCATTACAGTACAATATGGTACATTATAGTA